GCCAAAAATACATGCAAGTTTCATTTAAATAACTGTAGTGGAAACTTTCTATGGAAAGAAGATACCCCCCCAAAAAGCCCCTGAAAGAACAAAGTAATTGCCTTACAGAATGACTTCCTTTTGCTGCATTGTTTTCCGTTTGCATCAGCCGTTTGTCTCCTTTGGGCTGTGCAATTGTGGTTCTTTGGTGTGTCATCCAGCAAAAAGTACAGCAGAATTTCTGTGCACAGAAGAGAATTGCTACTTTTTCCTCTGTTATAAGTCAAAAGAAAAAAAAACAAAAAGAAAAAAAAAGAAGAAAAACAACTGCATTCTGCAGATTGGGTCTGTGACATGAATGGAATTTTAAAATTACAATTAGTCCTGAAAGCTTTGCTCAAGGGTTATACTTTTGGGTAGTCCTTCAGAGTCCTTCAGCTAAAGAATGTGAGTGTGAGTACAGAAATTGCTAATACGTGGGAGCCTCTTGACCAACGAGAAGAAAATATTGTGGCATTTCGGCCTCTCCAGTACAGAGTTGTGGTTTATTATTTTTTTTTTCTTCAAATACCTTTTCTGAACTGTTGATCACATTGTGGTGAATGCAGCTCTCTCTGTTATGTGGGTTCTTTATCAGGCTGTTATTGCTTGAAGCCCCCAGCAAGGCTCGGGTTTCTCTTCTGGAACTTGGTCATGATTGTGTTGACCATCCCAGGGAACTCCAAAACTGGCAGTGTTGTTCTCCTCCTCCTGCTGTTACTCATGTGGTGGGTTCTTTAATGTTGTCTTTCTTGCATTTGCTGCATGGGTAGAACCTGGGCATTCATATTTTGCAGTCTAGAAATTGAAACGTTCATTTGGGACTGTTGGGAAGATCAAGCAAAGCTTATTAGTTTGAGGGGTCACCTTGTTTTTCACCTAAGATAGCAACTTATATGATGCTTTCTGCTCCAAAATGGAGTCTTGTGCTCTGCAGTGACACTGTGTTTTCTTTTTAGCACTTGTTTTCTATCACTGGTCATGTCCTAAGTCTCCCAAAACATTAGTTTAATCCCATTTCATAGTCTCACTCCTTTCCTTTAGTTTAGCACTCTATTTTTCCTCTGCAAGTGTCAAAAAGTTAAAATGCCTGAAAGCTTTCCATGTACTTCTGTTTGTCCTTAGTTATTGCTGAAGGCAATGGTCATCCCTTGTTATGTCTTGAAAAAAAAAATCTCTAAAATACAATACAGAAGTAAAACCAAGCCAGTGGGCACCAGAAATCTGCCACAGGCATCACTGTTGTCAGTGATACACTGTTGATATGAAAGGTGGCTATAGAAGAATGCCATAGACACTATGTCATGCTTGACAGCAGATTTCTGCCGAGAACGTTGTATTTTCAGGGTGTATAGAGGCCTCGGGAAGTGGAGGGCCTCCTGATTTTCCAAGGGTCTTCGAGTGAAGACAACCGTGTTTGTGATAACAGAGCAAATAGATGCAGTTTCTAGACTGGGAGGAAGATTTTTGGATTTCTGCCCGTCCAGAAAGGCTGGAGCTGTCTGTTTGGGGATGAAATGTTTGTCTCCTGCAGGAAGATGGCTAACGGGGGCTGCATCCCACCCTTTCAGACCACCTTTTTGTGGGAAATGCTCGATTTGAACTCGTGGTGGCCTGCTGAGCAATTTCCTCCTAGTCTTCTGGCCATGTCAGCCTGCAGCTTTTGCATGCCTCCTTGCCTCCGTTTTTATAGGAACAGGAAAATGGTGATTTATAATAGGTGCATGGAAAACAACCAACTTTGGGAGACTGAGTTACCCAAATTGAGGGATTTTTGCTCAGTGACAAACTGCTTGACAGCTCCAAGTCTCCGTGGGTTAAGGCCATACAAACAACCTGGCAGTATGGCCGGGCATCCATTATATGGAGTTTACTTTAGTTCCACCCCAAATGACAAGAAAGTCTTGGTTTAACATGAGCTTAATCTTGATGCTGATGTTAATTAATCCGGATTCTTTGTCACATGAATGTGAAGTCGGGCAGGAAATGAACACAAAGCATTCCTGGGAGGGAAATCCCTGATTCCACACTACAGGGCATGGGGAGGGGAAGCTTTGGAGATGCTGTGTGCTCTCCTGCAGTATATAATGTATTAACATTTTTGGTTTTGGCTCATGAAGTGCTCTTTTCCCCTCACCCTTAGATGCATCGGATGTAATTGAATTCAGAAGCAATGGCCCTTTCCAGCTCTTTCCTGTCAGGAAGCTGAAATAGCATACAAATTGTAGAATTTTTTTCTTCTTCTAAGTTCTCACTAGATGACTAATCTCTACAGAAAATCAGTTGCTCAGTGCTACGTTACCTCCTGAGTACCTTGTGTTGCTGCTGTTTACTTTCTGCTGCTGAATTGAGACCCTGGAAGTTTTTGGTTTCTTGTTCAATCAGCTGCATCTTGACCCACAAGTCTTTTTGGGATGCAACACCGGCGAGGGGGCATATAGGAAGAAAATCTGTCAACAGCATTGACAAAATTCACTTTTTTTTTTTTTTTTGGGCAGAATGCAGAGTTATGTGGTGTCACCCTTTACAGAGCCATTGCGAAGGAGACTTGTCAGACATTTCCATGCTAGACTGTTTTTTGTGATTTACAAAGTTGCTTCTCAAAAAAGAGATTTTCTCCACATCTAAAAGGTGTTGCAAGCTTCTATTCAGAAAATGAAGTGAGGCCGGTGTCCAAAGGCACCTGCAAAGGGAATAGCCAGAGGTGCCTGGAATTCCTGACAGTGCCACCGTCTTCCAGAAATGAGTAGTGCGAAATCACAGGAGCCCAGACCCTCGTCTGCCTTAGCAAGGACACTTTGGCCAGGATATGAATTTTTAATTTGTGTTCCAACTGCTTTCACACTGTCATTGCCTAGAGATAGAAAGCATGCAGCCTTGTTAGAGAGGGCGATAACAGCCACTTTGTCTCCAGAGCCTGGACTGCTGCTATGTTTTTTTTTTCCCTTTTTCTTCTTAATCTGATACTCTTTGTTGAAAACCCAGATGGGGCAGATGCCTCCCAGTTAGGATTGATGGAGCTTATCAGTACAAGTCTGTCTGTTATTTCATAGGATGCTCCCGAACTAAATCGGGATGAAGACTGGAGCTTCAGCTTGTCAAAGATGGTGTGAAAGGAAATCTCTTTAAATGTTTATGCATCAGCAAGTCTGGCTTATATATCCATGGCGTTCCAGTGGTTCCTGGTGATTAGAGATGTCTTTGGTGGTAGAAGAGTGATGTGACAGCGATGGGTATATACTGCAAGGCCAGTGCAGTTCCCTGCTTGCATCAGTGTGTGTCTCCAGAATGCTCTCTCTGCTTTTTTTTTTTACTTCATTTTTAAAATGAACTTTAACTTTTCTTGCAAGTGTCTGTGAGGTTGTTCTAGCACTGAATTTTCCTTGCTTCTCTACTGAGATGTAGAGCCCAGAGCCAAAAATGGCAGCAGGGGTTTGGGGTGGCTGCAGGGCAGCAGCAGCTGAAGGGAGACCCTTTGGTCCCTTCAAATCACTCAGGGAAGATCTTTTGCACAAACCTGAGGCTCGCAGGGGGAAATCGTGTGGCTTAATGGCTGGACCAAAGTGGCCCCCAGCCACGTGAAAGAGGTTGTGAGACCCTTCACCAGGCGAGGTGAGATGCCCCGCTGTGGCCTCTGCTGAGGCTGTCAACAACATGCCACCCAGAGAGCGTATCATTATAAATTTATTTTTGTACTTGATGAAAATTTGCTAAAAATATTTGCACTTGCTCATCAGCCATCAAACTTTCCGCATTCTCTGTGACTGCAGGAAAAACTTCTGCTGTTCAGCCCCATCGTTAGTCAGTGCAGGTTACTTACTTCTAATGAGAAATTAGTGCCCTGATCGTTTATGTTGCAATCTTTCACCTGCGAGAGCATATTTTGCATGCTGCGTGGGAAGGCAGATTTGCTTAAAAATAAAACTGGCTTGATATTCTGTTCTGTGCTGCTGCAAGCAGCCCATTCACAAATTATTCAAGTGAGACATCTGTTTTCATATTTCTGTAGGTAGAAAGGTTGTCCTGAGATTGCACCCCTGGACATGGCCCCCTTTTAGTATGTGACATGCTCGATATGACATGGACGCATGATTTGATATCTTCAAATAATAATACTTATCTCCCCTGTCTGGTTGGTGTAGATAGAGGTTTAGGAAGATGAGTTTTCTGAGCGAAACATGTTATGGATGAAGCCATGACCTCAACTGAGGTACTATCCTAATACAGCTGATTAATAATAGTTGTGATGTGCAGGTGCCTCTCAAGCTTTTCCTCTGAGTGGTCATTGGTAGCAGGCTGGTTTATTCTTTGGAATAAAAAAACATAAAGATTTAATGCAGGCCAAGATCCTCCAAACCCTTTCCTGATGGTTGGTAGGATAACTTTTCCAAAACAAGCAGTACAGATATCACAGCTGACCTAGAATTTCAGTTTCATTTTTTTTTTTCTTAAGAATTGAAGAATTAAATCAGAAAGTTTCTCGTAGGGTCTCACCCATGTCTCCCTTAGTGGAATTTAAGGCTGTGACTCCTGCTATTCTTGACAGGCCATGAAAGTGATGTGGTCCTTTGTGGTCCTTTGTGTTTGAATGCCCTTGTGATGACTCCTTTTAGTCTTTATTCCTTTTAAACCAGATGAACCTGATTCTTTCAGTCTTCCTCACCATCATTCTCTTCAGATCTCTTGATGACTGTTTTGTTCTTCTTGGGACTTCCTCTACACATTTATCGAACACACTGTCCAATATTGGGACTTTAGTAGTGATACGTAAGAGGAGAGTTCCATTTTTTTGAGTCTGATGAGCAACACTCCTCTCTATGTGATGTGCTGTGATGTTTGATTTTCTTGCAGCAACATGACAGTGTTCAACCCCTGGCTGTGATCCCTGTCAGCTCACAAGTTATTTCCCTTGTGACTGCAATTGGTTATTCATGCTGTTCACCTGCTATTCCTGAATTGTCTTTGTCTTTTTCTTTTTCCAGACCATTTCTACAATTTATCAAGATCATTTTGAATCCTAATCCTGGCCTCTGAAGTACTTGCCGCCTGTATCAGCCTGGTATCAGCAACAATTTTAGTAAGCATATACTTATATTCCCTCATTCAAATCAATCATATTCCCTCATTCAAATCAATCATGAAAATACTGAAATGTGTATCCCTGTGATGATCAGATTGTGCTGAAAATAAGTGACTTTTACTGCTATGGAAGTTTTGCTATCAAAAGTAGGGTTATTTACCATACTGTTATATAACCAGTAAGTGGAAATACAGATTATGTACAGGACACGGAATTTGAAAGAATAGAAGCTATGGTTAGTTAGAAAATCATCACTTTTCCCTTGTTACAGTTTTCTTTCTTCTTCCTTTTCAATAGAAAACCCACCATCCCCTTAGATCTTGTAGCTTTCCTTTTATTCAGCAGATATTTGATAGTTAAAGAACCTCAGTATTTGGGGCTGGGGCCCAGGAGGGGAAGAAACCAAACCCAGTGTGTTTCATGACTTATAAACTGAAAAAGTGGTTGTGAGTGAGGGTGGGAATGAGGGTGGGAATCTTGGTGGAGATTTGCAGCCTTTAGGTGTTGAAGCAGAAGGCCTATGGCCTTTGTTTGGATTTCTGCCTTTTGGCTCGGGCACTGTCTTTAAATGTCAGTGAAATATCAAATTAGTTCATCTGGGGGGAGATGGTGAAGGGGGTAACATGCCAAGATTTATGTATTTCTGTGGGGTCTGATAAATGAAGCTTTATGGACCACACTTATATTTATAACACGAAGGGGGCAGAGCCAGGTACTGCCCGCAGAGGCCAAAAATACAGTTCACAGCCACTGTTTATGTCCCTATAACTGTCAGTGTTTAACAAATAAGAAATGAAAACAAAAACCGGTGGAGGGATCCCAAAGGTAATCAGTTGCAAATGTGCTCAAACAAGAGCTCGTTTCTTGTTTTCCCCGTCCAGAAGAGCATAAAGCAGCGTTTTGTTGTTCGCTGTGCCTAAACATATACGTGTTGGTCAGAACAGCGCTTGGGCTTCAGGCTTCATCTCCTCCGTGACACTGTCTGTTTCTAGAAATTTCACCGTAAGCAGGAAAAATAATTTGTACCTCTCGGTTCAGCCTCTATAGACGTGAGAATGGATTAGGATTCTGCAGCTCCTCATGTCATGGGTCAATAACACTGTTAGCATATTTAAAAGAGGGAAACAGGGGCGCATAGCAGGGCCCAAACCTGCTGACTGCTACTCTCATCTCCTATGATCTACATGTCTTTCCCAAAGTTACAAGAACTTGAGGAACAGTGCAGTTCTGTGAAAAAAGACCCGTAATTTGCTATTTTTAAAGGACTCTAGTTACTTAAAACTGGTTTGCGATGGTGGGGGAAAAGCCTCAAATATCTCTGTGGAAAGTATATAATGTGAATTATTTTGCATTTATTCATTCCACTTTACCGAATGGATGAAATCTCTTCTGACTATAGTTGTTTTATATTTGGATGTACTGTTTAGAATGTCAGTGTTAAAGGCAGGTGCACAAAGGGATTTTCCTGGAGAAAGAGAAAGGGAAAAAGAAAATAAAAAAAGGCAAAGCTTACTATACCAGTAAATGATTCTTGGTGTTGCAATGAACCTAATAATACTACTTATGATTAATTTATCTGTCTGACTTTTGTTTACATGAAAGACAACCTGGCTAAAGCATTTTGATTAAAACCTCGTAGAGTTTTAGTAGTATTTTGGACTTGCTTTACATTATGTGTTGAATAAACCTATGGCTGGTTGAGTTTTTAGGGACAATCCTATGCATCCATCATGTTGAGCCAGCAGTTTGTTTTCTCTCCCTCTCTCACACATTTTTTTGTCCTTTTTCCCATGCTGTCCAGCTGAACCTGTGCAAATGTCTTCAAACTTGTTTCTTCTTTTTTTGCAGCTTATTCCTTGACAGTTGTACCCAGTCCCTTTTCTGGCAATAGTTCTGCTCCCGATATTCTGTGATGTCCAAATAGCCGAGTCCATGTAGTAACCTTGCCATTCCCTAGCCATGTTCCCTGTTCCCTCTGGAACAATCCTGCTGTAATTTTCCATTTGTGTGTCTCACCAAAAGCCGTATCTTTTCTCACTTGCATATGCCACTTGCTTTTCCTGCTTTTTTCTGTCTCTTTTTTTAAGTGCTTCTTTCTCTTGTTATTTTCCATTTCTGTAAAGCAGATCAGATTTTTCAGAAAACAAAGCTGTGTGGCTTTCCATATGTGCCAGCCCATATGTATCTGCTTATAGTGAAGGTTGCAGAGCGGTATCCGTCAAATGAGGTAACTTTCCATCGTTTCATATTTATTCACTGCTCACAAGTGAACTTTCTTAGAAAGCTTCAATCAAAATACTAAGACTTTTTTGACTTACATAAGAGTAAAAAGACAGACAATTCTGTCCTTTAAAAGCAGCTATGTTGGCAGTATGACCATTGCTCCATCTTTTAATCAGTTAACCTGGAATCTTTGATGTTGCAGAGCAATGGGCAATAATCATGTACACTGGAAAAGGCCTCTCTGCAAAGTTGATCCCTTTCAAATGTGTTGCTTCTACTATTCTGCATTGGTTTTAATTCAGTTTATCTTTTTTAATTCAGGTTTTAATTCAGTTTATCTTTTCTTACCTGGCTTCACAGTGCTGTGAACCTCTGGCATCTCTGGCATACGGCCTTTGGATTTGATCTTGCTAGGTTTCAACACAACCTTCAGCTATGGATTTACCACTGTGCTTTAATGAAAGGCCAAAAAGCATAAGAATGCTCACAGTGAACACAGTGCGGCCAAATACGTTTTCATGGCAGAGAGATTTCATGATCAAGAACAATTTTGATGGACCTGCTGGTAAAAGATGCTCAGTCACCTCTGTGTTTCAGGAATTGGCTGGGAATGGCTTGGAAAAGTAGTCTTTTCAGGAGAAGGCTACTTCCATATTGCCAGAGCTGTGGGTACATATGCAGCCATGGACACTACTGTCTATGTCTCTTTTTCCTTTTCATTTGCAGTTACTTCCCTGGCACAGTGGGGTGTACATGTGGTGCTAGATCAAGACCTCATTTCATGGTGGTAGAGGGATTGCAAGTCAAGGGCCCATGTTGCATCACTGTCCCTTTTTGACTGTCATAAACCAAATTTCCTTCCAAAGCTACATGCAGCTTTTTCTTTTCACTTTTAAGTGGTCAAGATACTATTTGCAAAGTCTTCACAGGCTCATCCCTTTTTCTTCCCTTCTGCAAGCCTGGAGTCGTGTTGATGCAGCAGTGAAATGTTAAGACAGTTTTTTGGACTCCCTCCCCTCCTGACTTGAGTGTTTTTTCCCAATTTGCTGGGGTGCTGCAATCCTGGTGCAGAAAGCAGAATGGTCCTTTCCACAGGAGTGTGTCACTGCTCATAGGTCATCCCTTCCCGAATGAGAGAGGGGATGTTTTTAATAGGGTAAAAACACTCTATTTTAAGCTGCTTCTAAAAATAAATTGCCACACAAATTGGTATTGTGGCAGCAATGTTTTATAATTGAATTGAGAATGTTTTCTTAGTATGATTCATAGAAAGAAAACGAGCTTTACTAGTTTTGCCCTGGGGTGAAGCGACGTAGGTGAGTTGCTGATCGCGTGTGGAGGTTCACGTGCTTGTGAGGACTTTTCCAATTAGCTCCTCCGTTGCAGGCTTTTCCCCTAAGACTGACGTGTCGCATTAAACACTGGAAAACTCATTCTCAGAGGTGTCCAGTAATAACCCATTCTTTACAGGGACAGAGTCCCACAATGATTTGGAGAGTTAATGTCACTCTACCTAGAAAACTTGCGCCGCCTGTGTTGCACCCATCACCAATGAGATGTCTCTTTCTGGGCCCCCTCACTGCAATATGGTGGTTTCTGTCTCCTTGCTCTTGCAAGGGCAGGCCAGTGACTTCAGTCCCCTTCCTGAGACTGCCTCATCTGTTTGCATCTGTTTGCAGTGACACCTTGAGCTGCCCAGTTGAGGTTCATGGTCACAATGTGTCAGACTGAATGTGCAGAACAGAAGTTGCACGTAGAAATTGCATGCACAAACATTGTTAGCCTTGAAAACCTTTATCTTTTGCAGGAGAACTTTTCTGCTCCTCCTGAGCTCCATTGCAGTGCAGATGTATTGGAGAAAGTTCATACCTGAAAAGAGGAAGCAGAGATATTAGCTAAAGAGATGACTGTGTGGTGTCATGTATGGTATAAAAGTCCTGGTTTATGTCTCAACAACAGAAAAGTGGGTCAAAAAACCCACCAAAGTTTATGGTTCAGGTACATAAATCCATATTCCGATCCTGCTATCCCTGAGCTCCAAGGCCCTCTGCATGTTCAGGTGGGTTTGGGTGCTAGTGTGTGATCTTCCAGCTCCTCTCCCAGCCTCTCATATCATGGCAGTATCTTCTAGACTTCTTTTTCTGCTCTGGGTTATGTGCTGGAATTAAGCTGCAGCATGTTGTGCCGAAGTAGATGGTGATCCTGTTGCCTTCCTGGAAAAGGTGATGAAGCTCCACCTCATTCCAGGGAAAGATCACAGCATCGGAAGTGGGAGGAAAATATCATTGCTTATTTACAGCATGATTCTTAGAATAGGAAAAGAGAAGCTTATTGTGATAAAAGAAGGCAAAACAGGAGGTCCGGGCTCGGCTCTGATAGCAGCTTGTCAGGCGAGACGTCCTCAGGTTTCTGTTTTCAGCTGTAATATGGGAATCAAACATTTCTATTTATGGGAGGTTACTGAGAATTCGTTCATGTTTGCAGGGGGTATTAATTAGCCCTAATTTATTGCCAGCTCCAGGAATGTCTGTCTTCAGGACAGCAATCATGCCGGTATAAAGCAGTTAAAGGAGATTTAGAGAGTTATCAAGGTGCAAAGGACGATATTTGCTGAGGCCGAGTGGCTAAGTATTGTTTTTACTTACATGGACAGCGGCTTTTTTAACCTGAGGTTCCTTCATTTGTCTTCATTTGGAAAAAAAAAAAAAAAGAAAAAAAGAACAAAAAACCCTTAAACTTCTGATTAAATTTGCCCAGCACCTTGTGCAGACCTT